TTTTTAAGTCCATGGTGTTGTAGAGGTCAGTCACTGTGTACACAGTGATCACCTGTAGCAGTAGGTCGTGGGTGTCCTGGAATATGAGACCACCTCCCATCCCATCCTCACGTCAATACTCCTAGCGCACCCCCTATCCCACTATCCTACCTCAGTGTGACCAGCACTCAGGACCATTACCCTACCAATAGGCAGGTTGTGACGCCCAACCTCACGCCCAGCGCGACTTCCTGTTTCGGAGTGTTAGTGGGCCTGGAAGTGCGAAAAGGGGTGTGGCAAGGATTTTAGGAAAGTGGGGGTGGAGTTCCAGGTCGGAACTGGAATCTCCTGTGTCAAGATCAGGGGTAGAAGTGCAAGTGTCTCTTTCGGCTCAGAGTTGGGGCGGTGGTCGATCGCACGGCCTAAGTCGAAGTGGGGCACTACGGGTGTCGTTGTGGGAACGCTCGTACCGCTGCCGACCGTCACAAGCTTCGGAGTCCAAGGAAGACGAGCTGGGTGCTCGTCGCTCGGTCCCCGGGTGGATTTGTTGCGTGGCCCCCACCTGCTGATACTCGCCAGGCTGCCGACACTCCAAGAACGGCGGGCGGGGCCAAAACCGGGCTATGGAATCCCGGGGGATCACGAGTAGCCGATGGTAAGGGAGGACGGTATAGTAGGGAGGAAAGTCAGTGTTGATGGCAATGAAGCCTGGGGTTAGAGGGTGTTGCTGGTTTCGGTTGTCGGGATAATCGGGAATTCGCGGGTCTCGGTTGATTGCCAGCTGGAAATCACCCCAGCACAGTCGCTCGTTTTCAGTCCGGCAGGGGTACTCAAGGAGCTCAGGATTCCGTAAGTGACGATGTTGTCGGATCCGCTGTCGTCGGATTTGTTCCCTTTCCCAATACGCTCGGTATTCTGGGTCCCTCAGGCTCTCGGGATCGGTGATCCAGCAAGGAGATTCTATCACCATGTCTCGTTCAACGGAATCCATGCACACACATCTTTCTAGGGGCGAAGGGGCGAAGGGGCAAAAGGGGGGAGGGCAAGGTCGCAACAGGCTTTTGCGGACGCGCGTGTAGATGGCAGGTCTGCGGACGGGCCGCTGCCTTACACGTGCGTGCGCACAGGCCAGTTGGTCAGATCCTAACTGCACGAATGAGCAAGGAGTGATCTGTCAGCGTATCGGATCAACCATGCAACTGGTTCCCTCAGGCAATCAACCTTGTTCCCATACCGTCATGCATCAAAGGAAAAGATTATTCACAAAGCATACACACCCAGCACCCATATCCCTCCCAAGCGCAAAGAAAAGAAGAAGGAAGGAGGAATTGCAAATCTCGCCGATTTCACACGTGTCATTACCGTACAATAAGAGTGTGGAAGTCATCCTGTTGACATGTTACCAGATCCGCTCTCATTCTAATGACCGACAGGGAGGGGGAAAGGGAGTCGGTACATGGGGGGGTGGCATGGGGGAGGGTTACTCGGGAGTGGAGGTAAGAAACTCACCATTCCCACTACTGTCTCCGGAAGCTCTTGATACCTGATGGTGCGATGTATGCGAGGGAATCGACGACCACTGTAGGGGAGAGAAGTGACATAGTCGGGATAGAGGGTCGAGAAGGTCCGGAACAAGGCCGCGCGAAATTGATCATGATCCGCACATGCGGGGACAGTTCCCGTGATCGTGCAGTATACTTCGATCATGTTGTGCCCCTGCCACGCGACACTCAAAAGAAGAACGTGGAGGGAGAAGGATGGGGAGGCACATTGGGAGGTAGAATGCGGATACACCGTGGCAGCGAGGCGGGTGGCATAGAAGTGATGGAAGGTGGACGTCGGGAAGGGGTTGTAGGGGAAGGAGATCGGGTTATCGATCTGTCGGAGCGTCAGGAAGTCAAGGGGACGGCGGGATAATGACCGGGGACGAAGCCCGATGCCCCGCATCGGGACGTGCTCAAACTGGGGGACGGGGGGAAGGGGAGGGGGAGCGGCTTCGTCGCCTCCACGCCGGCGTGCCCGATGCCTCTGCATGAGGGAGCTCATCTTCTTCCTTCGGCGGCTCGGGATCTCTGGTCGGATTGTCCGGGATAGGCAGATCTACTTCCACCAACTGCTCTAAGGGCCGCTTTCCTTCCGCTATCTCCACCCTCCGTTGCCCAGCTGTAGGATCGTCCTCTTGTGTTTCCGCTTGGTCCGCCCCTTCTTCTGCACCCGCCCCGTCTTCTTCTTCTTCGCGTTCCTCGCTCTCTTCGCTCTCTTCGCTCACCGCCCCCGACTCGTGCTCGCTATACTCACTGTAGTTTTCCTCTTCTTCAAAGGTCTCCTCCTCCTCTTCTTCCGCTTCTTCTTCTTCTTCTTCTTCCTCCGCTTCCTCTCCCAACTTCATTCTATGTTGAAAGAAGAGAATGTCGGTTATCCCCCCGGGATTCAGGTACTCTGCGCTTGACGGGTAGCTACCGTTCCCCCATTGATCCTCCAAACAAGCCGACCATTGCAGGTACGACATCAAACTCCGCGCTAGAATGTGAGGCGCCGGATTCTCGTCGCAGTGCGAGATGATGTCAATCGGCAGGTCGTCTAGCAGCTGCGTGAAGGGAATTAAAAGTTCCCCTACGATTGTCGGCCGATGCCCGAGTGCCACTGTTCCAAAGACGGATCCTAGCAGGTCTCCTTCCACTTTGGTCCTTGAAGCTTGGATAATAAGTAGCTCCACGTCTTCGTTCACCGCACGGTGCTCGCTATCACGGGTCCACGTCAACTCGATCTGGACAAGGCACAGAGAAAGAGTCAAGTAGTGTTCACACCACATCTCCCACTGCGAAGGCTTGACGAGCAGGACTGCAAGTGGCCGTACGTGGAACGAGAGGCGGGGATGGAGTGCTGACTGCCAGAAGGCAGGGAAGACAGAGGGAAGGTTGAAGGTAGAGAATCGGGAGCGGTTCATTGAGGACGCGAGAAAGGGACGAGTGCAAGAAGAGAAACTGTCGGCTTGCGCCGGAGAGTGTGGATGTCGTTGACCTGTGTATCTTTTTAACGCAGAACGGGGGAATTAAACTCCCGTTGTTCAATCCCGTTAAATTCAAAAAAATCCCGTTGAATTCGCGTTAAACACAAAAATGGGTCGCTCCCGCGCTTTTCGGAAAAACGGAATTGATGCGCGGGGTCCGGAACACGTGGCCCTAGGCAAAAAAAAAAATAATAATTAAAAATAAAAATAAAAAAAATCCCCCCAACCCCTGAAGCACCTCCCATCCGCCCCCACATCCCCCAACCCCCAACGCCCCAGTTATGTGTGTGTAGGTGTGCTGTGTGTGCGCGTMTCTGTGTATGTGTGTGTCTGCCGTGAGAGTGTGTCTGTGCATGAATATGAACGTATGCGCGTGTGTTTGTGTATGCGTGTGTTTGTAAGTGTGTGTATGTGTGTGTCTGTGCTTGTAAGTGTATGTCTGTGTTTGTATGTGTGTGCGTGTATATGTATGTGTGTGTTTGTGTATGTGTGTGTTTGTAAGTGTGTGTGTGTATGTGTGTGTTTGTAAGTGTGTGTGTATGTAAGTGTAAGTGTGTCTGTGCCTGCGCGTGAGAGTGTGTCTCGCCTTAATCACAACCTCGTTCCCCAATACACAGATTTCACTTGCACCCAAGGACCACCCTGCGCCACACCCAGCTTACAGCAGCGTAGCTCGGATATGGCTGCCTGCTCCTTCCTGCTCGCCCGTGAGTGCGTGAGTGCCTGCGAGCTACACCGCGGCAGTGCTTACGAAGCATGCAGCCAACACCCGAATGCCCAATGTGGAGATAGGCCCTTGGCAATATCGAAGTGGCCTGCCTGTGTTCAGTCCCAGGAAGCTTCCAATAGGCCCCGGTAGCCTGAGGCACAACACGAACGAGAACAGGCCTTGGGCCTGAGGTGGTTGCATGTCCCCAACTGCCTTTGGCCTATGTTTGGTCCAGTACCCGTATCCAGCCCAGGGCTTGCTTTCCATACATTCACACCGGCGGCCCAGGACCAGGGTTCCCTCAACCAACCGACGCCAGACTCATGCAACCTGCTACAGGCCCAATTGTGTGTGTGTGTGTGTGTCCTTTTTTCCTTTTTTTAATTTCCTTTTTATGGTTTTGATTTTTTTAAAAATACACGAAGTTCCAAAAAAATAAAATAAAAAATAAATTGTTGTACATCTTTGAAAGATCTACAACCCTATATTTTTTATTTGTTTTTTTTTGTTTTTGCTTTAGCCCTTAAAAAATTTGTGTGAAACCCAAAACAAAAACACTCATTTCATTTTAGTTTTTGTTTTTTCATTGTGTGTTTACGTTTTTGATTTAAAAAAAATAGATTTAAGCATCAAAAAATAAAAATAAAAATACAGGGTTGTAGTCGTAAAAAAGACCTACAACCCCATGAATTTTTTTTTTGGATAATTTTTAGCCAGGAAAAAAATCATCTCGGACCCCGTTAATTCGCGTCCAACTCGCGTTTGAACGGGAGTTTAACGCGAATTCAACGCGCGTTGAATTTTTCAACGCGGAACCTCTGTTGAATTCAAAACTGGACACACAGCCGTTGACGTCAATAAGCGACTGACTCCAAGCTTCTGCCAACTCCTCGCCCCACTCTCTTAACGAGGTGAGGATGGCCGTATGCGCTCTCGGATCCACTGTACTAAGATCCCCGCTGAAGAAGATGATTGCCGAGACGTGACCGATTCCAGGCGCCGAAAGTCGTCGATAGGCCGATGCTTTGGCCAGCACCTTTGCCCGGCTGTTGGGGACCAAAAAGCGGAACTCCGCCGCCACGTGTACATCTGCGGTGCTGAAGAACTTAGCGAATCTGAGGACGTCCGGACTGATACGCGAATGATGAACTTGCCAGATCGACAAGATGTTCCCACGTGGCGCCAACATTCGTTCACTGAGTACCTGCTCCCTAGAAAAACTCATGGCGAAGAGGAGGGAGAAGGCAAGTGGGGAGAAGAAAGAGAATGGAGATCGTCACTCTCCTGCTCGGATTCCGAGATCGACCCAGCGGGGGAAGGAGTTGGCGAGCACATTTCCTTACCTGCACCAGGTCCCCCAATTTATATTGGGGCCGAGGGCCCGCATTCCCATTTCGGGCCTCTTAGCTCCGGATCTGTCGGCCGTGGGCCAATTCGGTCATTCGCTGCCTTTTTCGGGCCAATCTCGGAAGGGCCCGCTCCATGAGGTTCAAATAACGCTTGGCTTTGTCTTTGGCTGTCGCCCTAGTAGGGCGTCGGCCCAAGGCCATTTCATCATTCAAATTTGATATCGAGACGCAAGATAGGTTGTTGGTTCGTAGCTGAAAAGGCGAAAGTCCGGTAGATTCATGCGGGGTTCCTCGATGTATGACTAAGATGTGATCCACGATATCAGGCCACTGCCGCGTGTCTTTAGCTGCGATATTCCGTCGGAGTGCCGTTTTGATTACCCGGTTGGCCTTCTCCACGAGGCCGTTCGACTGAGACATATGAGGGGCTGTATTGCGAATAGACACTCCATGTACGACCAGGTTCCTCATGACCTCCCCTCGGAATTCCGCTTTGTTGTCGGTAAGGATCTCCTCGGTGTCCTGATCCATCTCGAGGAAGCGGTTGACATACCATGCTATTTCCGTCGTCTGTCTTGTCCGACACGGGTACACCTCGGTCCACTTCGAAAAGTGGTCGATGAATACCAAGAGAATTGAATACTCGCAACTATTCGGTTCAGGGGGCATGACGATATCCGTCGTGTCCATGCTAACCCTCTGAAACGGCCGTTGGACTATGGTGGGCATTATCGACCTCGGCGGTTGAATCGGCGCCTTGTCGGCCGCACAGACAGGACAATTTTTAACAATAAATTTGACATCGTCCTGAATGTTGGACCAGTACCATTCGTGCTTATCGATGGCTGCCTCGGTAATCCTGACAGCGAAATGCGTTGCTGTCTCCTCATGTGCAGCCCGTACCCAGTCATTCCTTACGAATGGGTACGGTACCACCATCCATATTCCGCTTCCGTCCGTTTTTCTTTTCTCCAACCGCCTTTCGCTCCACCTATAATCCTCTGCCCTCTCACTGGCCCGTCTCCATTCCTTCTTAGAGAATTCCCGGAGAGAATTTCCGACAACTGTGGCTATTAGGACGTCATCTGTCCATACCTCCGCCCGTCTAAACCGTAGGGTCTTTTCTAAACCCTCCGACGTCGCGTCTAGGAATCGAGCCTCCGTCGGAACCTTGTCAGTATGGCACAGGTGGCAAAGCCACGGTTTCTGAGGATTCCTATACTGGATAAACGACCCGTGGGCTCTTGCTATGCATTTAGCACATTCTAGCCATTCGACGTAACCCTCGCTCTGTGCCTTAACTGAAACGAAATGGACCCGAAAGATGGATTCACAGAGAAGACAAAAACGATCGGGTAGGGAAAACAGAGAGGAGGAGAAAGGAGAGAGAGGGCCCTCAGCGTATCTTTCTCCTTGGGCCGCCATGGGGACACGTGTCGGTTCTTCGTCTGTCGAGGGAGAACCTTCACCTGTCCGTAGTCGGGTCCCTTGGGCTGCTCCAGCTCCTTCCACGGAGTGATCTCCTCGGCCCGTGACACCTTTCCTGGCCTGTGCAGACGTGTCCATCTGTCCGCATTCCCGTGCCTCTCTGTCTTTCGATGAACGATATCGAAATCATACTCATGCAGCCTCACACCCATCGCCCAATCATTGCAGTGTAATTCGTCAGCTTTTTGAGAGCCAACAAGGGCTCATGATCTGTTACGAGGAGGAACTTTCGCCCGTAGAGGTATGGGTGGAAGTGTTGAATTCCCCAGACCACAGCGTAGCATTCCCCTTGAGGTGCTAAGTCGTTCCTTCTCTCGCCCGGCACCGTCTGCGAAGCGTATTTGACCACGTGTTCCCGCCCGTTCTCCCCTTTCTGTGCTAGGATAGCGGAGATCGCTTCAGGCTGCAAGTCAGTAATGAGTAGGAACTGGCGCTCGGGATCGGGCCGAAAAATAGGCGCCGAGGTGAGGGTCTCCTTCAAAGTGGAAAAAACCCGTTCGCACTCCGCGTCCCAGTTCAGCGGCTGGTCCTTCCGTAGGAGGTTCGTCAGGGGTCGAGCGATTGCCGCGAATCCCTTGATAAACTGCCGGTAGTACGAAGTCAGTCCTAGGAAGGCTCTAACTTGCGTCAATGACGTCAGTGTGGGTGTTTCCCGAACTGCCTCGACTTTCCTTGAATTTAGTCTCAAGCCTCCTCGGGTCTCCACATAGCCTGGGAACGAGATCTCGGACAGAAAAAATTTGCTCTTCTCCAATGCAATCTTGAAACCAGCAACCCGCAGCACTCCAAATGTCCATTCAATGTGCTGCGCGTGTCCATGGAACGATTCACAATACACCAAAATGTCGTCCATGTACACAATGACGCAAAAATTGATCATTCCCTGGGTTAACCTAGTCTTGTTCACGAATTCTGGAAGGTGACATTCATCACCCTCGGAAAGGTCACCGATGCATTGCATATACCCATAGGACAACGAATCCACTGCCACGTGCCTTTAAACAATACAAACGCCGTCTTCGATCGATCTTCTTCTCGTACAAGGATATGGTGGAACCAGTGCCGAATATCACACTTACTAAAATAGTTAGCACACCCAATTGCTTCCAGCAAATCATCAATCCGAGGGAGGGGATATACATCCTTGATTGTCATATCATTCAATTTCCGATAATCGATGCATATACGAATCGATCCGTTCTTCCTTGGAATTAAAACTACCGGGAAAGATCAAGGACCCGTAGCAGGTTCTATCCAATCGTTAGCTTCAAACTCATGGATGCGCTCGAGTGCTGCCTTCCGTCCCGCCAGCGAGTATCGATAAGGCTTGCAATGAATCAGCGTGTGGGTATCGGTCTGAATGTCATGCTGGATTATCAAAGATAATCCTATATGCACGTCATCAATGTTGATAGCACCCCGGTACTCCGTTAGGATTTCTGCGATGAGTCTATGGGTTCCGTCGGGAACGTATTCTGGCACGTGTAATTCGTAGGGCTGTCCGTGAATGACGACAGTAACGTGTTTGGTACGTATTGCTTTTGAATCCCGGGGCGGCGGGGAAGAGGTGAAAGAATTGTCCGACCGCCATGAACACACAGTGACCATCATCTTAGCTTGTTCTTCTCGGATGGCCACGTGTTCTTCGGGGGTTATCCCATCCGCAATGTCCCGGGGGTCCACCGATTTCTCCGCGATCTTTATTCCGACGTCAAACAGCGAGGCTTCGGGGCACCCTGGGGTTCCGAAGCGTGTATCTTTGCCCCTAGATGCAGCAATCGTATCTTTTTTTCCATGGTAAGAAGCGATCGGGGAGATGACTTTGTAACGTCGCAGAAGGACCGTTTGTCCATGTATCAGGGAAGTAACGGGGTAGTGCCCTCAACACTTGTACCAGGGGTTCTCCTATAAACAGAGCCCGGGTTCGTTGAGCATTCTCTTCGGTAAGTACGAATGTCTTCGTCGTTTTCTGTCGGACTGGGTATCTAATTATCTTACGTGTTAGTTTTTGGATCACCGGGTTCGTTTCGTCTTCGCTTTCCGAATCTTTGGGAGGCGATGACGCTTGTTCTTCGCTAGTCATCTCCGAATCGACCTCTTTTTCTGCCCATATGATCGTTTGGATCGACCCGATCGCGTTTGAATGATCCTTACACGTCACACCTGTCGTTGTGCGGAGGGTGAGACGCATAGGAATGGTGTATGGGTTGCCACCGATGTTCCTGAGAACCGCTACCTGTCGCTCGAAGTCCAGGTTGGCTTGGAGGGCATTGAGAGCAGGAAGTCCGAGAAGCACATCGTATGAGGTTACACTGAACACCACAACATCTCCCAAGGCGTGGACTTTTCCTATCTGGAAAGCGACATTTGTCATTCTACCGACCGCTCTGATCTTTTCCTCATTTGCAGAGATCATACGGTCTCCCTCGTTGAGTGGAATTAAATATTTTCTTATTCCCGCCTGTTCCACTACTCGCAGGGATATGGCCAACACGGCTGCTCCAGAATCTAGTATTGCACTGTAAGGGACTTCCCAGATTTCCGCGTCACATCTCTCTCTCTCTCTCTCTCTCTCTCTCTCTCTCTCTCTCTCTCTCTCTCTCTCTCTCTC